TGGGCGTGTGTGGTACCGAATCAGTAGGCAACAACCAATGATACTAACGCTTAGAATTCGAATACAAGATCCATTTTTCATCTCAGGTTGATAACCAATTAAGAAATGATTCATTAGCGTTGCGTGAAATGTTTGCTGAACAAATGGTGAGGCGACTCAATTTGTTATCATTTGTCAGTTCATGTAGGACAAAGTTTCGGGACTCACTCTGAACATTTCTGAAAGTTCTTGGCATGTTGTCCTCGAATTTACATCCACAACCTGTCGAAGATCCTCGTTGTTGTTGAGATCTCCCGAAGAAAATGTTTTGAACCACTTCTGTGCTGTTCGATCACTAACGGCATCATCTCCGAATGCGGTACATATTTTCCGTGAATCCGCTGCAGCTTTTGTACCAAGTTTGCACTCATACAGTAAACAACTTCGAATTACTGTTTTATTCGTCGCCATTTTCAATTATTAAAACTAGGTACGTAACAATTTTCAGCAACTTTTTATGTGTATGAGTAAAAAAGGATTCATACTAAAGTGACAACAGGTAACAAACAATCGCTATCGATCAACAACATATATGGCAATGTGCGATATACAGCAACCGCACGAACTTATTTGATTACCTGATAGTACATGCAGCAGAATAATATTGCATTATACACTGTTTTTGTGGAATATGTACTATGAGAAGCCCTATAAATGTATTCTGCTTTGTTTTGAAATTTTTGAAATAATGTATTCATAGTGATCCTCAAACATGTTTTGGTCGCATTAATTCTGAGATTTCAAATGTCAAATATTTCAACGTCTATTTTTTCACACAAAGCCGCAATTTTTGAGACGGTTTGAAATATTATTTATGGAAAATATGCGAATATTGTTTTGAAGGGCCAAGAGAAAAGGGTATCTGCAACGTTTTTATTTTATGCAACAATGCCATTTATCGATAAGCAGGAGTTAGAAGTTACTCGAAATGAAACCTAAATTTATCAACAAGTCAGTATGTGACTTCACCGCTCTTTATGACAAGAGATATGACATTATGGTCAACTATTTTGGCAGCTGCGATTCCATTGCAACAGGAAATCCAGTTCTGACTCTTGGGATATAAAAGTGTGTGATAGCTTCCAACAATCGCATCTGTCTAGGTGCTATAGAACAGTTAAGAGATGTCAGTCATGACATTACTTCATTAATGACAGATGAAAGGTGTGACGTCAACTGTTAGGCCGTCTCTATAGCTTAAAATATTATTTTGAAACGATTGTCTTCGATCCTTTTCAGTACTTTGATTGGGCAGTTCAACCTACGTGTGGTCAAAAATCTGTACACATTTCTTTGACCGTTGAATCATCAAGTTCCATATGAAAACATACAGGATGTTCATTTGAAGACCTCCCATCACGGATTTATCAAAAACCACTGATAAAAAAAAACGCCGAGACACATCAAAAGATTTGTCAAGAGGGACCACTTTTTAACTAAAAGCTAATTCACCTCCTTTCAACCTCTGCCCCCAGGGTCATCCCCCTAAAATTTTTAGATTACAAGGAATATCGAGCGATAGCTTGTTTGAAAAGCCTTTCGAAATCGTTTATTTTGACGTTTGATTTCTTAAAATCGATCGATTTGTTTTCAAGAAAATAGAAAAATCTTTATTTATCTTAATTTGTTGATAGAAAACAAAAATACAGGAAAATATCAGTTGCTATTTCAAAATGATGCCAGCTAGGGTTTGACAAATCTACAATTCGTTTTTATTTGAATCGGTAACTACCAACATAAACAGCAATTCAGAAGATTAGACGTAGCGACAACCAAATAACAACCCGACTTTTTTCCGCATTCTTTTCATCAAGACACATATCCTAGACGAACTGTATTTATTGCTATACCTGTTTAGTTATTTGTTGCTAAAGGCAATAAATAATTTAATTTGCTGTTAGTTACCTTTGTGATAATCTTGAGATAGTGAATATTAATTTATTGATGCAGATTTTACTTCTAAAATGTTACTAAATTTACTCACTATGTTCTCCTGGTTCGGCAATGACTAGATGAGAAAATGAACTTCATGAGAGAACTGAGTTAGCAAGCAGCGAAAGAGGCATTACGGAAACTGAGACAAGTCAAAGCCACACAAGAGAGATAGAAAGAAATTATGTAAATCCACTTACAAGATTTGATGATTATCATGTAAGTTTGCTGACATTAAGCAATGAAGAGCCAGCAACCTGTGAGGACAGTCAGTCAGTGATAAAGTTGTGTAATAACCCAGTTTCATCATAAGTTGAAACATGTAGACATAAGAGTACATTTTGTTAGAGATAAGATCTTTTCGAAAGTTGTTTATGTTGAATATGTAAGCACTCTGGATCAGTTGGCAGATGTATTCACAAAGCCACTTGGTAGAATCAAGTTTAACAGGTTTTGTAACGAATTAGGTGTACTTGCTTAGGTATGAAGCTTTTTAGTTATATGTACATGTTTTAGCAAAGTTGCCATTGAGGGGGTATGTTAAGTTGGCAATGGTGAACTATTTTGATATTAATGAAATGTCAAGCAGCATGACAATTGACAATTAGCTGTGACAAGTTGCCTGCGAGTCGGTCTTGTGACGTAGTAAGGTTTAAGTTCTTGCTCAAATAAACTTAAGTAAGTTAAAGCCTATGTCCACTTATTTTGAATGCGCCCAGCTGAAAGTTGTTTTCTATCTGGACAAATTAAGATAAATAAAGACTTTTCTAATTTTTCGAAAACGAATCGACCGATTTTAACGTCAATATAAATAACTTTTAAAGACCTTTCAAACAAGCTGTTACCATCCTGATGACATTCGTAGGGCTACAAATCTTGTCCATGAAGTGAGAAACGCACTGCACGAACTCCGCAACGAGCAATGGAGCGACTTTCTCGCGGGAATGCTTGATTCAAGTATTCCTCTCTGGAGGGTCGCAAAGTCACTCAGAAACGGAAAGCGAGAACATCCACGGTCCTGAAGGCATAGTCTTCAGAACGGAGGATAAGGTCGAGGTTTTCGCTGATGCCATGGAAAAACAGTTCTCTCCCAACTATGATCTCGATAATGACCTCGACGAGGAACAGCACATCGTACGATCCGTCAGGAGATATTTTAGGGCCAACGGCGTCAGCGGAGACACTGAATCCTCTTCAGATGGCTCTTCTTCAGAAGATTCGTCTGAGGCTCCACATAGCACATTAGCGGAACCCTCCGAGTTTCCACATTGCACATCAGCGGAGTTACTAAGTCATATTAAAGACCTCAAGGTGCGTAAAGCACCTGGGGAGGATCAAATCACCAACAAGGGGTTGAAGCTGCTCTCGCCGAAAGCCCTGACATACTTGGTGACTTGGTGTGGCACGCGGGCCTCCTCTATAAACTAATCCAAAAGGGTTTTCCTTTTTGGCTTCTAAAATTACTAAAATCCTTTCTTGAAGGAAGGAAGTTTCGGATCAAAATTAACAATGTTTTGTCAACAACACGGCCAGTACGGGCCGGTGCTCCTCAGGGTTCGGTCCTAGGACCAATTGTTTATTCGCTTTTCATCCATGATGTCCCTTCCCCCAGCAACTGTGAAGTCTACCTCTATGCTGACGACACTGCACTTGTCGCCCAGTCATGTACTGGTGATCTAGTTCACGATGGGTTGCAGAATGCGTTGGACGAAGTTTTAGAGTGGGCGGAACGGTGGCTGATAAAAATTAATCATTCGAAGACGCAGGCTATTTATTGTACCAAAAAACGTCGCGGCCCCCCAGCAGAGGTTTCTGTAGACGCAAATCGTGTACCATGGACAAATTATGCCAAGTATCTCGGTGTCACCCTTGATAAAGGCATGACCTGGCAGAAACATACAGCATCCATAAAAACAAAATTCCAAATTGCGCTTCGGCAACTATATCCTTTGTTATGTAGATCCTCCAAATTGAGTTTGATAAACAAAGTTCGACTATATAAAATGATTATTAGACCAGCCATTACTTATGCATGTGCGGCTTGGTGTTTTCTTGCCAAGACACACATGCAAAGTCTTCAAGTACTGCAAAGCAGAACTTTGCGGACCATTTGCAACGCTCCATGGTATGTCTCAAATGAGACACTACACAGAGACCTTGGCATTCCTTACTTGAGGGACTATGTCAAGCTTCAGGCGCAGCGACGTTATAGTCAAGCGGAATCGCACAGCAACCCTCTGTTGCGTGACTCAGTGGACTACACAGTGGAGCAAGTTCGTAAACATTCAAGGCCACGGCTCGCACTGTAATCAAAAGTTAGCGTGAATCTTTAGTAAACTCAAAATTACACTCTAACAAAACCGAATCAAAAATTTGTTTAGTTCACCTCAAAATTAATCCGTGTACCAAGTCAAAAAGCCTAAGTGTTTCCTCTTAAACTAAGCATATCTGTTTTTCTTTGCTCTTCTCCTTTTTTGTTCTCTTTCCCTTTCTCTTTTTTCTTGACTTTGTCTGGTTTCTGGGCAACCAGGACTGACAGATTCGACTAACGTACATCAGACAGTGACTAATGGGCAAAGGTCCTACGGACCGCCCAGACAAATAAATGACGAATAGTAGTACAAGCTATTACTCGATGCCACTTGTCATTCAAAAATTTTAAGTGGATGACCATGAGGGGCAAAGGGTGGCAGGGGGTGAAGCAGTTTTTGGTTAAAAAGTTATCCCCCATGACAAATCTTTTGATGTGCCTCGGCGTTTTTTCATTTAATATGTGTTTTTCGATAGATCGGTGGTGTTTTCGAATGAACACCCTGTATAACAAGCTGCAATATGTATTCACAATCGTGCTTTTAATGTATCATCCTTTCCATTAGATTTTTGCAATTCCGATGAATCGTAATTGTATCGACGCTGCACATGTTATTGGAGAATCAGTTTATTTGAAACAAATTTTAATATTCTCTCGATGTATGTAGCTGGGTAGTCCATTTGAATGTATCAATAATTTAAACATCGGAAAATTTCAGGTAACGGATGTACCGTGGCTGGCTTTCTGACGATACTCGGAAACGTGCTATCCGTGTACACTTTAGCTGTGATCACTACGGAAAGGTGGTATACGATTACATGGGCGATACATCTCAACAAGGTAAGTGCTTCCACTACTACAGTCAAGTTTCCGTTTTTCTGTGTTTTTTCGGTAAACCTATCTGATTTGCCCTATACAGGGTGTTCTGTACCTTAATGGACACAGAGAAATGGTAGGTAGTATGGACCATCGAATTTGTATAATTTAGGAGTTAAGTCTATACAGAGTTTCACAACATATGCGCTGTTATGAAAGAAGTTGGTTTCTCAAAAAAATGTATCAAAAGTCCTACAGAAATTAAGTTATAAACCTGAGTTTCAATAATAAATTGTAAAATAAATATCTGTATTTTGCGTTAATCGTCGTGATATTAGAACACGCATTAATAATTTATTGTAGAAATTTTTAGTTTTTTCATACTGATAAGAACGTGTAAATAAGGTTTAATCTGTATCGTCGGTGATCTGAATGACGAACGGTCGATTTTTGTGAAGTTTTTTTTTTTTATTTGTAAATACAGAAGCCGCATCGACCCAATTGGCCATTAGCGGCGGATTTAATAAATTACAGTTTACTTAGATATTTGCATTTTTGTAGAAATTTCAGGAGGTTTGTGAGATTGCTACTTGGTCCTAGTATAACTGATAGTTCTTTATCAAGGTTACATGATATTCTGTAATGTTCTAACATTGGGCACTCCACTAAAATATGTTCAACAGTTAAAGTCACGTCACAAAACACACAATAGGGTTCCGGTTGCTGCATGATTAGGTATTCATGTGTTAATCTGGTGTGGCCCAGACGAAGACGGCTTAAGATTGTCTGCTGCCTTCTATTGGAGGTGATGGTCTGCCATGGACTTAGATGGTGTTTTACCTTCAATAGTTTGGCTGATTTATTTTGCCATGAATTATTCCAGTAATCAATGGTTCGATTTTGGTAAAATAGTTTCACATCTGATGTAGGAACTTTCTTGTTTGTCACTGTGTCCATGTTCGCAGCCATTTTTGCGTTCTCGTCAGCTATTTGGTTGCCCTGTATATTTTTGTGTGATGGCACCCATATTATGGTTACTTCTTTATTTTGGAGTGCAAGGCTATGTATTTCCATTTTTATAATATTGACCAGTGGATTATTGTTATATATTTTTGTGATCAGTGTAATTGAGTTAAGGGAGTCGGTAATGATGACCCACTTCCGACTGGAGATTAGTTTGATGTATTGCATAGCTTCTCTAATTGCATACAATTCGCCAGTTAGTATTGAGGCTGTTTCGGGTAGCTTGAATTTCATTGGACCTGAAGGAGTAACTACAGCGGCACCTATGTTTTGTCCAATCTTCGAGGCATCTGTGTATAATTGTTGAGCTTCTGTAAATTCTCCAATAATACTTCGGAAATGTTGATTTACTACTTCGTTTGGTGTATTGGTTTTGTCGAATTTTGTAAGAGTTGTGATACTGGCTGGCTTGTATAGTGTCCATGGTGGAATAGTTACTGGGAAGATGGGAAGTGTGGATGGTGGATTTTGTATGTTGAGTTTTCTTAGGTAAATTTTAATTCTATTCTGGAAAGGGGTACCCCACAGCGTATCTCTATAATTTCTTTTAGTGGATAGATATTTTTGAGCCGACATATTAAGATTGCTGATTTTCTTGTTGAAGTAGGAAAGACTTAGTATCTGACGTCTGGTATGTAGTGGCGCTTCTCCCGATTCGCAGTACAGGCTATCGACTGGAGTTGTTCTGTATGCTCCCAGGATCAATCGCAAGGCGGTGTTGTGTAAAACATCTAGGGGTTTTAGAGTTGAGGGCTTAGCTGAGTTGTAAGCAACACATCCGTAATCCATTTTTGATCTTATTAATGCTCTATAAATCATAAGTAGCAATTTACCTTCTGCGCCCCAATGTCTATTAGATAAATATCTTAACATATTCATTCCTGCCTGGCATGATTTAACGACATTTGCGATGTGTTTCTTCCAGTTTAATCTGTTATCGAAGGTTACCCCAAGAAATTTGATTTCACTGGTATATTCCAAGGATTTCTTGCATAACTTCAATGGGGGTTCTTCGTGAATCGGTTTTCTAGAGAATATAATGCATTTGGTTTTCTCTGGGGAAAACACAAATCCTGTTTGATTGGACCAGTAATCAAGCTTGTCAAGATACTTTTGCAGTAGTGTTATATTTGTTGTTAAGTTCTTGCCTCTGACATAAACAATCATATCATCTGCGTACAGACGTGCTTGCAAAGGTTTCTCAATATCTTGTAACACATCATTGATTGCTATTAGGAAAAGGGTTGGACTAATAACAGAGCCTTGAGGTAATCCGTTCGTTTGCTGTTTTGGTTCTGATAGCACTCCATTTGACCGTACTTGAAAGATTCTGTTTTGTAGGAAGTTAGAGACAAAGGATAATATGTTACCATTGTACCCCCATTTATGAAGTTTCGAGATGATATTGTATTTCCAGGTAGTATCGAATGCTTTATTAATGTCGAAATAGATTGCTACACAGTGTTGGCTGTCCGAGAAGGCTTCGTGTATATGGGTTTCCAAATCTATTATGTTGTCTGTGGTGCTTATGTTTGATCTGAATCCAGCTTGTTCAGATATTAGCAGGTTCCTGTGTTCTAAGCTCCATAACAGTCTTCGATTTACTATCTTTTCAAGCAGCTTACACATACAACAGGTTAAAGATATCGGTCTATATGATTCAGGGAGTTGTGGAGATTTGTTAGGCTTGAGCACGGGAATAGTTATGGCTTGTCTCCAGACCTCAGGGAATACATGGTTGGTCCAAATATTATTGAATAAATCTAGTAAAAGTTTCCTAGCAGACAACGGAAGATGTTTCAAAAATATGGCTGGTATGTCATCGGGACCGGCGGCCGTATCTTTGAGATCGTTTAGTGCTTCTGTAAATTCAGATTCTGATATGGGCGTATTAATTGGTTCACTGTCATCTTCTATTATAATTTGTTTTGATTCTGAAATTGCCTTATAGCTTAGAAATCCGGCCGGATAGTTCTCGACACTATAATGGGAATAGTACGTTTTAGACAATACTTCTGAGATTTGTTGGCTACCTGTAACATTTCGGTTTCCCTCTTTCAGACATTTTATAGCTGAGTAAGTCTTGCCCCCGGATGTGTTTTTCACTTTTTTCCACACCTTTGAAATGGGTGTATCGCTAGTAATGCTACTGACGTATGATTGCCATGATAATTTTTGGCTTTTTCTTGTTGTGAGCTTCAAATAAGCCTGTCTGCTGCGTAACTCCATCAACGTGTTGATATTTTTATGCCTCTTGTGTCTGTTGATAGCTCGTTTACTGGATTGAAGTGCTCCTTCGCATTCATTGTTCCACCAAGGGACTGGATTTCTTTTCCTGATGTGGTTAGTTTTCCCCATACTGCGATGTGCGGCATCTGTGATGACCTTGCTGAATTGTTCAATTATGGAATTAATGTCATCCTCGGGGAATATTTCTTGTCTTAGATTATTTTCTATATGAGTCGCAAATTGGTTCCAGTCTGCATTTTGCAATCTCCATTTAAGGGGTGGCATTGTCTCATTGTTATTGCAGAACTTTGAGTTAAAAATAACTATTGGAAAATGGTCACTTCCATATAAGTCTTCTTGTGTATTCCATTGTAGGTGGCTAAGGAGCCTGGGAGAACATATGCTAAGATCGATAGCGGAGAATCTGCCCGTAGCAGCATCAAATCTGGTACTATTGCCGTCATTCAGTAAAGCTAAGCCAAATGAATCTAGTAGGTCGTTTACTAGGTTTCCCCTTGAGTCATTTTTGAATGAGCCCCATGTGTAGTTATGTGCATTGAAGTCACCTAAAACTATCCTTGGGGAAGGTATTTGTTGCAAAAGTGATTCTAGTTCTTGGTCATCTATGTGGTAATTCGGAGGAATGTATACGTTACAGATAGTTAGCTTTTCAGGAGCATCCAAAGTTACTGCAATCGCTTCCAGATTGGTGGTAAGATTAAGTGTTTGTGAAGTTTAATAAGGTAGTATTTTGCAAGTTTATGTTTTTAGTTATTTATTAATAAAAAAAGGCTTGTGTACACTAGTGAGGAGTTGGTGGACATTGTTCTAGCGTACAGAGAAGCAGGGCAAACTTCGCGAGCGGCTTCTCGTTTACCGAGTTACGAATAGGCACGTACATCACGAAACATTTAGTTCAATTGTTTCACGTGCACGTGCCAGTGGAGATTTGCGCCCAAGCTTGCACTGCAGTCAATGGAAACAATTTTCAACAGCTTTTATAAGTGAACTTTTTATTATCTCGACATCTGTAGGACTTTTATTACATTTTTTCTTTTGAGAAATCAACTTTTTTCGTAACAGTACATATGTGGTTAAAATTTGTCGGATAAGTTGTGAAACACCCTATATAATAATTAGAATGATAATAATAATCACAATAATAGTAATAATAACTAATAATTGCGATCCCACTGCTATGTACACCTTCGGGGCCATCCACTGGATAGTGGACGAGCTGCGACAACTCGTCACCAAGTTTGCATCTCAAGTCCTGAATTCCACGTATACAGGGTGGTCTTCCGGTTTTCGTCGAGGACTTCATTAGAAAAATTTTTTTAATATCTTCAAAACCGTCAACTGGAATGAACCAAATGTGTAGAATTGCCTAAGTATTGTCCACATTAAAAAGTGTTTACGTAAACTTAACGTGCACCAGTAGCGGAGATGCAGGGGATTAGTGACATTATTTTTCCAAATTAATATAGTATGCCACCGCATTTTACCTTCAATTTGATACAAATAATTACTTTCTTGTTTTTTCCTATAGTGCACTGTTTTCGTAAAAATAAAATGACTTAGCAGCTTCTCGGGAGTAGTAGTAGTAGTAGAAAGATTTATTTAGCACATTTGGCTACATAAACAGAATAATTATATATATATATATATATATATATAACAACTTAGAATTAGTAAATTTAAGCCATATGGTGTATGATGTAAATGCTGGGCAAGCTATAGTTGTAGATTTAACAAGTGATTCCTCAATTTTG